ATGATGATGATGATGATGTTGTTGGTGATGGTGATGGTGATGATGCTGATGATGATGATGATGATGATGATGATGATGATGATGATGATGATGTTGATGCGGATGATGATGCTGAGGAGGAGGAGGAGGAGGAGGAGGAGGAGGAGGAGGAGGAGGAGGAGGAGGTGCAGGAGAAGCGAGGAAGGGGAGGAGCGAGGAGGACGAGCGAGGAGCGAGGATGATGGAGGAGTGAAGGGCGAGGACCAAGTAGCGACGAGCGATTCGCTGGCTGGTGGACGGCGGGGAGCGGGGAAGGGGACGCGACGGCGAGTCAGCGACGCGGTCCGTCGGAAAAACGGTCCCTCTGCGAGGTGGTCCTCGAGGAAGCCTTCCGTTGGCGAAACGGTCCGGGCGAACCGGTCCCCGGCGAACAGGTTCTATTACTTCCTCCTCGCCCCCCTCCTGCATAGTGGGTGTTCTCCTTGGGGGCCCCCATGTCGAAGTTGAGGAGGAACGCCTCGGTTGAAAAAGTTGTCCACCCGTCAGAGGTATGGGTCCCCCTCCTCGTCCTCCGCCTCCTCCTCCTCCTCCTCCCTCTCCTCCTCCACCCTGCCTCCATCCTGCCTCGTCCTGCGTCTCCTGCTCATCTTCCTCCTCCTCCTCCTCCTCATCCTCGTCCTCCTCCTGCTCCTGCTCCTGCTCCTCGTCTTTCTCCTCCTCTTTCTCCTCCCCCGTTCTCCTCTTCCTTCTCTTCCTCCTCTTCCTCCATCTTCTCTCATAGCGGATATGGCATCGACCCCGCCCCCCTCCCCCGACCAGGGAGTGCGTCGGCCAGGGCCTCGGGAACTTCTTCAGCGGCCTGCTCGGCGGCATGGGCGGCTGCGCGATGATCGGGCAGACGCAGGCAGGCCCGCCCCCCCGAGCAGAGGGAGCGGCGACGGTACCGACGGCCACGTCGACGACGGCTCCAGCGGCGGCGGAGACGACGGCGATGGTAAAAACGACGCTGGCGGCGGCGGCAACGGCGGCGGCGGCGACGATGAGGACGATGGGGAGGAGAAGGAGGATGCGGAGGGGGTGGGGGGGCGGGAGGGCGGGACCGGGCGGGGGAAGGGGCAGAGCAGAGCGGGCGGAGGGGGGAGGAGGAGGAGGAGGAATAGGAGGAGGAGGAGGAGGAGGAAGAGGAGGAGGGAGGAGGAGGAGGAGCAGGAGGAGCAGGAGGAGGAGGAGGAGGAGGTGGAGGGAGGAGAGGAGGAGGAGGAGGAGGAGGAGGAGGAGGAGGAGGAGGGAGGAGGAGGAGGGAGTAGGAGGAGGAGGAGGAAGAGGAGGAGAAGGAGGAGGAGGAGGAAGAGGATGATGATGATGAGGAGGAGGAGGCAGGACAGAGGCAGGATGGAGGCAGGGTGGTGGAGGAGGAGGAGGAGGAGGGGGAGGAAAAGGAAAACCAACATGCATCAACTGCCACGTAGTCTTTTGTCCAAGGTCCTCTCCGCACCAGTCCCTGTAAACACTGTTTACAGATGCGGGAAGCGCCGCCTCTGGAAAGACGAGCGCTTCACGGGCTCGCAACGCAGGCGCGCGCTGCATTTTGAAGGAACCCGCCCTCCATCCTTGGATCTGGAAGGCATGCGCCAAGGATGGGCTTCAAAGTTAGAGGAAGTGCCCAGCGGCAGCCCCGTTTTGGTGACGAAATCATGCCGAGCCTCATGCGAACGCCCCTTTTTGAAGAGGATGCAGACTCCATCCGTGTAGTTGGTGCATGCGCGGAACTTCCAAGTCTGAGCGCTTTCCCCTCCCCCTCCCCCTGCGCGGCCGCTCTTGTCTGTCTCCCCCTCTTGCACGCTGGCCAGTTCGTGCTCCGAATCGCCACGCGCTGGTGCGGACTGCCTCTGCTTCGCCGCCGACGCAAAAAACACGGGTGCACGCGATTGCACTTGTTGTTATGTTTGAGGAGTCTCGGGCAAGAGCCTCATTCACAAAAGTGCCGGCCTCCATCCGTGTAACTGTGAGAAGTTTTCACGACGAATGTGCGCGGCGATGCTACGAGACCGACACACTTGAAAACCACAGGCCTTCTATACGTGTAACTGCTGGATGCTTTTAAGACCAATGTACCCCGCGTCGAGGCGATATCCACGTTTTGACAACCACCAACCCTTCATCCGTCTAGGTGCTGGACATCCCGAGCTTCGGGACAGCAGGCCTTCTACAATCAAGTGTGGCGTTGGCAGTCGGAGGGCGCCCGGGACTTTGTCGCTCTTGTCTGCTTGAAATCTGACGTGCGCCAGTGGGCAACTTGCGCACGGTGTTGCTTAGGCACGACGGTACGGTGGTTGACACTGGAGCTCATTGGCGCCTCGACAACTTCACGCGCAGAGACAACTGGCCCCTCGCCCATGGACAGCACCGCCTTCCAGCCTTGCCCCGAGGGCTGATCTACATACAAGATGCCGTAGGCCTTCATCATGCAGCGCTCCTCCGGACCGACGGCGCCACAGCGACCCGCGGCAGCGACGAATATGGCCAACGAGATATCCCGGAGGTGGACGCGGGGTTGAGATACGTCCAAGTTGCCGCCAGGCACGACGCCAGAGTGCTCCTGAGAAACAACGGCGTGGCATTGGGCTGCGGCGACGACCCATGGGGCGCTCTTGACTTCCCCGCGCTGGGGCCAGGGGCAAGCTACGTGCAAATTGTAACTGGATGCAGCCATGCTGCGCTGCTCAGGAGCGATGGCGCTGCACTGGCCAGCGGCGAAAATGTATACCATCGGTGTGATACTCCTGCTTTCTGTCCAGGCACTTACTGTTCGCAATTTTCCGTTGGAGGTGCGCATGCCATGCTGTCCAGGAGCGACGGGATCGCCGTGGGCTGCGGGAGCACTTGTTTTAATCAGTGTTTACCTCTTGCATGGGGCCCAGGACTGAGCTACACGCAAGTCTACGCTGGAAATTGCCACGCTATGCTGCTCAGGAGCGACGGCGCGGCCGTGTCCTTTGGCCAGTGGGGCTCGCATGTGTGGTAGGAAGAAGGTGGGCGCCCACCACGAGTGGCCGCCTGGCGCAGCGTGCCGCTACACGCACGTTGCCTCTGGGTGCAGCCATGCACGTCCGTACAGAAACGATGGCATCGCCGAGTCCTGTGGTCGGGATCGGCACGGAGAGCGCAGTATTCTGGCCTTCGCCGCTGGGCGGCGCTACGTGGCTGATTGGCATCCACCTTTGCTTCCGTCGCTCGGCGGTGCTTCGATGCGTTCCCTGGCGTTCGGCGGAGCGAAGCGCTGCCGAATCCAAGCACGGCCCAGTGCGTCGCTCGGAGACAACTACGCCCAGCTCATGGCGGAACACCGCGCAGGCGGGCTGGGACTTGGCGCGTGGCGAGTTGATGCGATCTTGCCTGGAGGCCAGCGGCTGAGCGACTACATGGCTCACGAGACGGTTGCTGGCGCGTTAGGCCTCCGACGGAGGCGCTTGCGTGGCAAGCGCCAGCGCCGAGCGTACCAGGTCTGAATGAAGCGTGGGTGTTTGAAGTCACGGCGTTGGCCACAGCGCGACCAGCCGATTTTCCAAGGTGTCCGCTCGCCGCCCGAAGCCTTGTGCGGACGGTCTGGTTTGTGTGTTTCCTGTAGCTCGCAGCAGAGCTGGACTCGGCGGCGCCCCGCTCGACGCCCGCGGGGTTGTCCCAACGGCTTGGTCTCGCCTCGCCAGCGTCTCGCGGTGTTGCCAGACTGCCTGGCCCGTGGGGTTGCCCCAGCGGCTTCGCGATGTGGCCATTAGAGAGTGCGCCCGTGCTGGCAGAGGCGGCGACGGCGCCGAGGAAAATCGGCACACGCGCGCTCTTGCAATAGAAATGGGAGGAGGTGGCGGGGGTAAACCAAACAAGCAGGAGGGCGAGGAAGGGGCAACGTAGGGAGCGGGAGGAGGGCCTGCGCCAGGGCGAGAATGAAAATGACGCAAAGGAGACAGTAAGGACGCCTCGCTCACCAATCACGAGGACGACGGCAGATTCGCCGAGAGGATTCTGATGTGGGCCCGACCGTCGGAGTAATGTTTTAGGCATCCCGGGCGACGCCTGTTACACTCCATGCGTTTTGGCGAGGACAGGGCCCAAACTTTGATGTCCCGGGAGGGCGACTTTCTTACGCTCTACGCGCTGGATTTGGGAACGGCGCCCGAGTCACTTTGTTACGCGATAAGCCCTCCCCGATCCCTCCCTCCCCGAACTACGCTCGTCACCCGGAGGGGTCCGACGTACGTGCTAAGTTGCTGCCGCCCCCTCCCTCCCTCTCCCCGATCCCTCCCTCTCCCTTCCTCCAGTCCCTTCCCCTCATCTTGGGGGCCTCTGGGGGCTTTCCGGAGCTTGAGGTTATCTTGGAAGCCTCCTGGGCCCTCTCTCCTCCTCGACGCTAGGACAGCCCCCCGCCCCTCCCCTCCCTCCCGCCCTCTCGGGGAGGGAGGAGAAGGAGGAGGAACATGAGAAGGAGGCGGAGAAGGAGGAGGAGGGAGGAGGAGGCGAAGGGGGAGGAGGATGAAGAGGAAGAGGAGGAGGAGACGGAAGAGGAGGAGGAGGGGGAGGGAGGGTGATAATGTGAAGGGCTGAGGGTGGGTGGATGGTGACGGGGGGGGGGGGGAACGACTTGGTTACACGTTAAGCACAACATTGCAGAACGGGCCCAGTGCAGATACCCCCCGACTTAGGTATACGGTAACCGACGTCTGTTGCACGCCAGTTACATACAAATCACCAAAATCACGCTAAGCGAAAGTGCGCTTAGCGTGTACTTTTTCTTTATCTCGAACGAACACGCTAAACGTATCTAGCCAAAAGTAGGGAGGGGGGTCCGTCGCATTTCCTGCCCGCTCCGCCCGGCAGAGCGCTGGGGGATGCCCTCCTCGGCGCCCTGCGCCTTCGATCAGCCACGCGCAAGAGGCAGAGCAGGAGGAGGAGGCGGAGGAGGAGGAGGAGGAATAGGAGGAACAGGAGGAGGAGAAGGAGGAGGAGGAGGAGGAGGAGGAGGAGGA